ACAAATTAATGAGTATTTGAAAAGAAGTGATCAAGCATCTGAATTAAAAAGTATTAAAAAGGAAATGAGAGATCAAACATCTGAATTAGAAAGTGTTGAACCAGAAATAAGAGATCAAGCATCCAAATTGAAAAGTATTAAAATGAAAATAGAAAATCATGCATCTGAATTAGAAAGCATTAAAACAGAAATAAGAATCAAATTGGAATAATAATATAATGATAAATAGTTTTAGGATTTTAAATTGATAAATTTTTTTTGTTATTAAATTATAATATTAAATATTTAGAACTTCATGTTGTAGCTAGTTTGTTATACTGAAAAATAAGTTTTAATAAAAAGTAATTTTGATAATTAAATCTACTAGAGTAACTTGTATATATAAAATAATTTGATCAGAGTCAAGATTTAATCACTAAATAATATTAATAAATTAATAAATTGTAATGCAAATGATGCAATTAATTAAAGGCAAAGGTTGGATAAGTAAATAATACAAAAATATCGATTTCAAAGATAATAAGAGTTAACAAAAGTATCATAGCACAGTAAAACAGTTATAAGTCAAAACAGTTTTCTTGATTAATGATAAGCACTATAAAGTGATTATAATAATTTTCTTTTATTAATGATAAGCTAATACTTTAATATTAAATTGCTGAAAAATTGATTCTTCTAATACTAAAAATATCGAAGACTAAAATTTTATATACATTCAGTAGCTGTATATTTTTTTGATTGTTCTTTCCTTATAGCTATTTACCCAGTATTACATAGTGCTAGTATAATATTTAATTAGTTGCAGATATATATTGTTAATAAATTGTTATCTGCGTGATAGCAAATAAATAGCTAAAGAAATATAATGTGATCTACAAATTTGTGTAACTAATATTAAAACTATTTGAAATTAAATAAATTTTTAATAAAAATTTTTTTAAAAAAATTGCTCTTTTAGTTTAAAATTTAAGGTCTTTTGAGCAATTGTATAAAATTTTAAAAGAAGTTAATATGTAAAATATCAAGAAGATATAGTTTGAAAATTAATAGCTTCCTATAAAAATATTATAAACATTTACTAAAATTCAAACTGTATCTTCTTGATAATTTACATATTAACTTCTTTTAAAATTTTATACAATTGCTCAGAAGACTTTAAATTTTAAACTAAAAAAGTGATTTTTTAAAAAAATAAAACATATATAATAAAATTGATAAAAAGTTGTCAAATTTTAATTTTATTCTTATCTTCATTATACAAAAAAATTTATTAATTATTTTACTATATATCTATACATATATTTGATCTCTCATTTCCTTTTTAATACTTTTTAATTCAGATGCTTGATCACTTCTTTTCAAATACTCATTAATTTGT